CCCTGATGATTTTCCTGTTACAACAGAGACCTGTGTGTCTTCCTTCTTGGTAAGAACTATTGAAATGAGAGTGTTTGGCCTCTTAAGAAGGAATTCTCAGAGTAAGTTTTTCTTCCACCTTCATGTTCTTAACAGTGAGAGCAAGTCTGTCTGGAGTGACTTTGCCACATTTGCTCATATTGTAGAGATAGAGGTAATGCTGTTTTCCTTTGAAATTATAAAACTTTTCCCCCTTTGCAAGAAGAAGCCATTGAGAAGCCCCTCCATGCTTTGGTACTTAAAAGATGTGAGTGTATTGGTGTAGAAATTCAACCTTCTCCTTTAGTTCTCCAGCTAGTCTTACCAAGTCTGCTAAGACTGGATGTCTTCCTCTTGTAAATTGCTTTGAACTATATGTCAAACTTTGTACTTTGTTATGCTAGGAAGGGTGGTTGTTTCTCAGGGACTGCTTGGAAGATTTGGGTTTGATACTGTGGTCTGCATGTGTATTTTTGGAGGTTTTTGTCCTCTCTGGTTTTGTACTCCTTAAAAATAGTTGAGAATAAAAATAAGCTGGGAATTTGTCAACTTAGCTAGTGAAAATTATGAATGTTCTATATCACCTTAGAACATCCATCCATCAGGAGTCAGAGATGATAAAAATGTCTGGAGGGATATCAGCTGGGTCTGGTACTTTTATGGGAGCTCTGTGGCAAAGATTGTAAGAAGGAGCTTCTTCCTTTCTATTCTGATCTGATAAAATAGACATTTCCCAGGGTTACATTAGGGGCTTTCCAGGCAAGTGGCTGATGCTGGCTTATCCAGTGAAACAGAGAAACATTTATCATCCTGCCTTTTGATGGCAGCCATACCACAGAAGTTCTGGCAGGTCTTTGAATGCTGTCCATGCTACTGGACAAGGATTTGCATCATCCTCTTGCTTGGCGCTGGCATATCTGAAGGTGTTCCCTAGCTTTGTTTCTTACTTCTGCCACCTTTGAGTGAATTTTGTCACAAGGCAGTTGTGCTGAGTTGTGTTTTTCATCTCAGTAGGATTCTCTGCTCAGCTCTGACCCTTTAGCACCAGGAACTGTGACAGCTCTTTTCTCACAACCATTTGTGAGGACAGGAATCTTTTTGCAAGGCAAATGAAGATGAATATTTCAACAGCAGCAGCAGCAGTCAGTCACCCTCCTTGCCTTATGGGGCAGTCCTGGAAGACAAGTCTGAAGCCACTGGTTACTTATGGCCCTGGTTACAGTTTCCATAACACAGTGTTAGGTAAAACAAACGTGAGTGTTGTACAAACACTGACTTTTTGGAAATGAGCTCATCCTCAGTTTTCCTTTCAGGTGGGTTCCCTCATTCACAGATGTTTACTGGGGAGAGCATTTCTGCAAGGGCTTGTAAAATCCCTGGTATCTGGTAAGGAGGAGTGTCCCTTTCAGTGTTTCCCAGCAGTGAGGAAAAATTTAGTCTGCAGTCTGGTGAAATCTTCTACTGCTGTTCCTGGTTTCACTGCCCAGTAATCCAGCTATTTTAGGAGCTCACTAACTGTAAGGGACAAGGTTTTCCAAACATTCTACCTGGAAAACAGGACTTCTATGTCTGGGTCTCTTGCTTTCTTGGTAATGACTGTTGTATTGGAAGAGGCTTTGTCCTGCTTCAGACTTGCAGTGGAAATGCTTGAATGGTGTGCAGAAACAGTGAGCTCCAGAGGCTGTGTCTAACCTAAACTAATCTGTTCTTTATTGAGCATATTCACAGTGTAATGAGTTCCTGTAGTAAGAAAAGCTTGTTCCTCTTGTGCTCAGTGCAGTGGAATAGCAGCTATTGTTGGGGTGATCTGTGATATATCCAGGATTTAGTTGCTGTGTTCTTTTGCTGAAATGTGACTCTTCTACTTAAAGGGCAGATTCTTGGAGAAGGCAGTCACACAAAGTAGGATTGCTCTTCTAATTGTAAATGTCTAGACATCTTAGTGGGGGGGAGATGGCATCTGTGGGATACAGCTTAATCCCTGTGGAAGGCTGGTGAGTCGTGCTCCAGCTGACTGTGATCAGGGTAAATGTCAGAACAACCACTAAATTTGGGTGGATAAACCCCATTTTTAGTGGGTCATTGTGTGTGTTAGGACATGGTTAACAAGAACAAAAGTGCTTTATTTAAAGATTGTGTGTACATGGTGTTGAACAACAACAATCTATGGGCTCTGGCTGCTGAACAATGGGTTTGTGCAGGTCAGGCCAGTCCAGCACTGTGGGGTCAAGAATTAACAACGCTGTTGGAGGCCCAAGGATGGGACATGGTGGAGATCTTCAAAGGCTGCTAACTATGCATCATCAGAAAGCAAGGTCCTTGTGGGTATTTTCTGCATGAACATCACTGAGACATCTAAAAGTGCTGGACAGAAGCCCAGCTCCACACCCCTGTGTTTGGCTGGCCACCAAGCTGTACTTTGGGCAATTGAAATTGGTCAACCACAGAAACTGCAGGGAAGTGTGAGTGGATGAGTATCTGTTTGCACTAGCAAGCAGTTTTAGCAAATAAGAATTAAAATGGCTTTTTGCATTGTAATTACCTTACTTAAATAAGAGACAAGTATTAACAGTAAGAACTGATGGCATTATTATTTTATTTAAAAGGTGACCATGTAAGACTTTCTACAATACAACTGAAGGCAACAATAGCAGTGTCACTTGAGCTGTGGTCTAGGAGGACAGCCAGGGGGTTGAGTTTAAGTATTTCTTTACTAAATTTCGGTGATTTATTGCATCAAATGTTTAATATTCTAGTGCTTAAGCTAAAATCCTTGTCTTTTATGAAGGATTTAATTCTGAACTGTCTTAGTAGCTGTATCTGTTCAGATTTTCCAAAATGTGTCTTTTAAAGCTAGACAAGATGGCACCTAACTGAAGATTTTTGTGATTCTTGGAGGCAAATAACGTGAAAGTAAATCAAACAGCAGGATCAGGGCAAGAACTTATCCTTTGAAGAATCCTTTCTTTTCCTTCTGGATTGTCTACAAGCTCAGCATCTTGAGTAGTATATCTTTGGAACTTTCTCTCTTGAAGTGTCTTTTCTGAATCTAAAATATTACCTCAGCCTTGCTGTCTCACCCATCTGAGCATGGTGCTAGCTGGTGTTCTTTGCTGCTGCTGTGTCTGGGAAAGAAGGAGTAGCAGGAATTTGGAGACTGCCTGAAGTGCTGTAGTTGGCTTTCTACACATTTTCTGCCAGGGGCATGCTTCTCTTCCAGGTTATCAATTACAGGGTTTGTAAACTTGCTGGAGGAGTTGTGTTGCATGATTGCTATCTGGGAGAAAGCTCTTTCCCCCTGGCCTCAGTAGCTTAGCTGTTCCCTTCTGGCTCTGATCCAGCCTTGAACATCTTTTTCTCTTGTGAAGGACTGGGGATATGAGCTGACAGTGACTGTGACCTTGTGTGATGGCTCAGGGTTTCAGGCTGTGTGAGGTCCTTTCCCCTTTTTTTGATGAAGAATGGTTAGAACTTTGTTCTGGTCTGTGTGAACTCACATCTGTCTTGTATCTGCTCCCCAGATAGCTCCCTGCTTTTGCTGCACTAACTCAAAGTGTGATGCTGTTATGTGGGAACACTTCATGTAACTTGTCTGGGGGGTTTCTTTGTGGTTTCAGTCTTCCTCATGAGTTAGGATGCTCCTGTGGTGGATTTGGTAATGTTTATTTAGGCTGACTCCTTCTTGTTTCAGCAGGGTGGCTGAACACCTCTGGCACCTTTCTGTTTAACCATTTTCTAGATAATTCCAGTGGATTTACTCTTACTTGTTTCCCTGGGGTTTTGATGTTGTTTTTCCCTCTGTGGCTTCTTCAGTTTCAGTGCAGTGAAGGGATGATGGCTGATGGTTATTCCTGTTCATTGGAGATACGGGATCCCCAAAGTCAGGAGGCAGCTTTGAGATCTGCCATCTGCTGATGTCTGGAGGGTGGATTTGCTTCTCATGGTCAGGGAGGAAGCAGTCAGGCTGCATAGAAGCTGCAAGAAATGCAGATCACTGCCTACATTCTTCCTTGCCACTACTTCATTGGCTGCTGATTCCACTGACTGTGAAGCCCTTTTATTCCTATTAATGTGACGTAGAGAAGATCCCTTGGCACATAATTTAAAGTAGACCTTTCAGATACTGATGTGAAATCATGATCTGTTCAGATTGCAGTCATCCAGCAAGTGCAATTATTTGGACCAAGGACAAGTTTCATGGATACAGAAATAAAGATTGGTTGTGCCTGGTTTTGTGTCAGATCAAGACCTGGGCAAGTACCATCACTTCTGTATTGTGTTTTCCATAGGAAGATTATTTAGGGGCATGGGCAGGACAGGAAGGATGTCATACTCCAGCACATCACCAGATCAGGATTTTGGGGTCCACCAGTACCTGAGTCCTTCATTTTCAGAGAACCAGAGTTCACAGGGAAGTGTTTCTTTCCCGAATGACACCATGACCTTGTAACCTCTGATTCTGGAGAGGATTAATTAATTAAAAATTGAAGTGTTTGGTTGATTTCTTTAGCAGCAAAACAGGCCAGGTAGTTCTTTCAACTTTCGGTCATATTTAAAAAAAAAAAATTTATAAATCAGGTGTCTAAAAGCTGTAGGAGACATGGAACTGCTGTTGTTTCAGTCTCATTTTTTTAACAACTTGCTACAGTAAACATTGATTAGAATGTAGCATAGTCTTCATGTGTTAAATGTAAGGCCCTCTCTAGTTTATGGATATATCAGAAGCTTTAATTTAGAATATCCACAAAATAAAAACAGATCTGGTTTTGCTAAGCTTTTTCTAGCTTTTAAGCCATTTTAAAAGTTAAAGGCTGAAGGTTTTTGTGTGACATTGTGGTTTCTATTCTGTTTTGAATGCCAGCTACCTGTTGTACTGCTTTTGGGTTTTTTCATGGTGAAAGGGGAAACCTTCTTCTGTTGGTGTCTGGTGTGCTAAATCAAGGCAAAAATTTGAATTTTTTTTTTTTTTTTCTTTTTTTCAGGTAAAGAAAGCCTTTTTTGCCTTGGTGGCAAACGGTGTGAGAGCAGCTCCACTGTGGGAGAGTAAAAAACAGAGTTTTGTAGGTAAGTAGTTCTGACATTATTCAGGATTACTTGAATTTCCAAAGTGCTTTATTGTTCCAGAAGGTGACCTGAGCCTGGCCATCACATAACATCCTAGAGAAATACTGGCAAATTGAGAAACTTGAGAAAATCATGATGCTTCTTTTAGGTCCCATCCTTCTGAAATTCAGTCTCTAATATTTGCACTTCACCGTGTATTTAAAAATAAAGACAATGGTCACAGAAAGGAAAATTTGAAAACAGGAACTATAAAGAGAATAACTTAATATTCCAGTATCCTGATATAAGTGCAGTAGGAGGCTGTTTCTGCCTGTGCTTAGTAAGGTGCAGTGAGGATCTCTAAAACCAGAACTGAAGCTACACAGATGTCCCATGTTGGGTGAAAAACATTAGGTCTGTGTACTGCTTTTTAAAAATCATGTCATTAATTACCACAACAATAATCTTCCAAAACTAGATCTCTCTTTCATTTAGAAAATGGGGTCACAGTGGCAGTGGCAAATAGAATTATATGTATTTCTTGTGACCTGGAACGTTGAGGATTCCTGGAAATGAATGGTAGATACTAAAAAAAGCATTTGTTAAAATACTTTATATCCAAGTGGGGAGGAGCAGTCTTGCAATACACCATAGGAGTGCTGTGTTTTTTATTTTAATTTGATTTGATTTCATGTTCTGTCTGTAACTAAGCTCTACTGATTTAAAGCTGAACTCCAGATTACTTTTTCCCTTCCCCATTTCTTAGTTTCTTCAGTTTAGATGTAAGAGTAGTAAACAGTGGAGCAATTGCATCTTCTCAAATCTAGAACTTGAAAGCTCAAAAAAGATTAATATTTTCAGGTAACTAAACTAATCATCAATATTATATTACATAGCTTGGTGTTGGTGCTTAAAATATATATATAGACAATGGATGTGCTATTTTTTCTTTTGAAAAGTCACATTTCCATACAGGCATTGAAGATTACCATGGAAATGATTGAATGAAGTTCTGTAATAAGTAATAGTCAAGAAAAATGTATTATACTGTTCCTTCATTTGAGTCTAGGAGTCTGTCTGACTTGGCAAGTACATAATGAGAATGTGTCTTATTCAAAAAGAAAATGAAAGGCTAGAATAATTTTCCAACTTTGAAAGATGTTCTAAACCCCCTCTTTTCCCTCCATGCTTTTGGGGGTGGATGTGGTCTGAATTCAAGGGGTTTTTTGAGTCAGATTGAAAGTGAGGAGAGGCACATGGGTTATAATATTGAATATTACTTCAGATATGTTTTTATTCTGAAGCACTGTGTCAGTGTGAAAGTGAATAGACATGGTTTTGAAATCCCAATGTTAAATAGTCCAATACCAGTAGTATTTTACATGGATTTAACATTTATCATTTTATGTATTGTGAATATAAATTGAGAAAATAGCTGAAAGTTCTGTATGTTAAGTATATATCTAAAGACCTTTTTTTTATGTGTCACTTGTTACAGGAATGTTAACAATTACAGATTTCATTAACATACTGCATAGATACTATAAGTCTCCTATGGTAAGTATGATGTTAAGCTATAATTTGATCATTTGCCATACAGTACAGAGACTGATATACCAAACTGAAAGTTTATGTTGATTGTCATTATTATTTAAGTCTGTGCATGGTAACTTACAGAGGCTTGGATGCTCTAAAAATTACTGTTCTTGGAGTGATGGTATAGAATAAACAAGTTAAACTAGTTAAATATATGCAAATATTCTAGTTACATGGCTGAATTGCACAATCAGTTGGAGATCTGTTGACTTCAATTAACTGTAATTTGAAATTCCCATTGGCAGTCAGTTGATGAAATTCTCTAGCTTGCATGTTCATACAAACATTTACATCCCTTTCTTGCTCTTGTCAAATCACAATTCCCCCCCTACCAATTAAAACATATGTACTGTGTTTTACTAGCTAAAAAATCAAGAACAGTTGGATGTAGCAGACATCTGATGTATTTCCCTTCTCAAAGCTCATGTTGCTTTTTAAAATTGATAGTGAAATTCTCATCAGATGCCAGTGGTGTTGTGCACTGTCCTTTATCCATGTTAAAGAATTCTTTTTTTTCTCTCCTGGGACTGATAATGAGTGGGGGGAGGAACAAATGAAAAGTACTTGCACACTGGTAGCTTCTTTAAAATTGTTTCTGTGTTGTAATGACCCTCTGCATCAGTATTACTGATTTTTCCATGAGACTTTGCCTGATGAATTCTCACTCATTTACGTTGTTTAAGGTCCTGTTCATAGCTTCTACTTAAGCTGGCAGCAGTAAAAAGGAGAAGCTGAGAAGGGACAATATCTGATTTAAGTGACTGATGAAGTCTTCTGTAAGAAAAATAAATAAATGAATGTTCCATCAGGGAATGCTCTACTTTTAGTAGGTGAAATTATGCAGAAAATATAATTCTTAAAGTTTTTTAGTCACTCTTCCTGAAAGCATCAGGATGTAGAGTAGGAAGCACATTGCTACTCATGTGCTAGATAACATGCACCACTGAGGATGAGGAACATCCAGGTCATTTCTCCCTAAAAGAAATGCTCTTGGTTGTTAGTGATTAGCTGACTTTATTCTGTTGGCATTAAGAAATCAGGTGATCAGGGTAAGCATTTTACTGGTGTGGGTGTGTGAGGAATCCCCCAAGGGTTTACCCTGGATGGTTCTTTGAAGGTGGTAAAAATGACTGAGGTGATGTCTCTGAGTCCAGAAAACACCTGGGCTGCAAACCTAGGCCAGTCAAAGGCTTTCCTGTCCCCTGAAATGATGAATCCAGAATTGTATTCTGCATCAGGGGCAGGATTGCACCCTCTTTCATTGTTACAAGAAATGTTGTGTTGTTCTTATTCTGTTAGATTTTTGTCGGTGAAATAATATTATTCAGATGTTTACAGTGTTAATGATGCATTTAAAATTAAATTACTTCAGTTTGAACTTTCATCTATTCATTGTAGGTTCAGATTTATGAATTGGAGGAGCACAAGATAGAAACCTGGAGGGGTAAGAATATTTACTACTTGGTTGATAATTTACTGGGTTCTGATGTTTTTCAGTATAGTGGATTTTGAATTCATCATAGACTTCTCTCCACGTATTTTTTAATGAAAGCAGAAATACTAAAAGCTTCTCTTTTGGCTCTATTCCTTATTTTTTCTATCTGAAACAGCTATGGACTGGTGATCTGGGCTGTGTAGCACTGTGTCCCTCGTTCATGGCTCTTTAAGAAAGGAAAGAAGCCAGTGGAGTGAGGCATGTGTGGAGTGGGAATGAACAGAGCTGTGCCCGGGTGAGCTGCACTCTGCAGCCAGAAATTCCTGCCAAATTCTGGGTGTGACCAGAGGTGCTGGATGCGGGGAGGCAGCTCCATGTGAAAAGCAGTGTGTGTCCCTTGGAATGATACATGGAGGTGTCTGTGTGCAGCACACACTCACAGAACCAGGAGGAAAGGATTATTTGTTGTAATTGCAGTGACCTCTGCTGGTATCAAGCTTAGTCCTGCTTTTAAATTTTATGTCTTTTTAATGTCAATATAGAGCACTGTGCATAAATGGTAGAATAACTAACTGTAAATTGCTGTCTGCCACTTAATTTTGTATGAATGAATTCATGAAATGCTTTCATAAAAAAGCTGATGTTTTCGTTTGAAGTGGTAACAGTCTATTAATTTTCTAACCACAGAGCTTTATTTACAAGAGACTTTTAAACCTTTAGTGAACATCTCCCCAGATGCAAGGTAGGATTTCACTGTTCACTCTGCTTAACTTGAAATACACTAACGCTGTCTCAACTCTGATTTTAAGGCCTCTTTATATGTAAGAAGAAACAATTTGTTTTGTAAACTACAGTACAATAAAGAAGGACTGTCTTTTAATATAATCAAGAAGGGGTGAGAGCTTTTTTTTATTGTGAGTGAAGACTTCTCTGATTATCCTAAGAAGGGAATTTTGAATTGAACTTTTGTGGTTTATCAGCATAACTGTCCTGGTAAATGAGCTAGACATGGGTCAAAATTCAAATGCAAAACAGGCAATAGGTTGACCCTTCAAGCTAGCCTGTAGGTCATCTTTATTTCATGAAAATCAAAAAATTTAGATCCCTTCAGCTTGTTCTCAGCAGTCACAGTGACTGGAAACTTAAAGCCCTTTTCAAGGGAAGTAACTTTCCTTAACTGAAGGAAAGACAATATCTCTGTGGCTTGTTCTCCTCTACTGTAAGGCTCTGTTTCTTAAAATATAAATGACTGTCCTTTTCTTCTTGATGGAAGTTGAAATAAACAGTTTTTAAACTGTCACTATGCCTTATTTTTAGTTGATCACTTAAATCTTGAGTACTAATGAATTGCTGAACTGGAGGGTGAAGTTGTGGTTCTTGCTTCAGTTTGTGGACCAGGATTGTTTGTGCCCTGGTGAAGAGAGCTCCAGTGATTACACTGAAGTAATGATATGCAGTACCTCAATGGAATTGCCATTTAGTCATGAATAAATCATTCAATTCAGTCATGAGGGATGTATTTTGAATGGTGGCAGGTTGCAATTAATATTATTAAGACAACAAAATAGCCATAATTGGTTTCAGTCAGAGTGCAGCACGAGCAGCTTTGCCATAAAGAAAATGCAGTAAAACTTTTACAAGAGGTTACAGCAGGTCAGCTGCAGACCTGTTCCAGAGATGAGCTGGGTTCTGGGGCAGTCAGACAGCACTTGGGAATTGTTGAACACTCACTGCAGGAGTGGGGTCTGCAGCAGTGGGGGAATCTTGGCTCTGTGTACATTAAATGGGGCTATTTCATCCCATGATGGACCCAGAGCACACAGCTTGTCCATGGGAAGAAGCCTGCTTCAAAAAGTCGGTGTTTGTCAGAGCTTTACCAACTTTTTTACTTGCTAATTTGTTGCAGTTGCTGGTCAGCTGCTTTATCATGGTCTTAATACACCGAGGGAAAAAATAAAAAGTGTCACTTGCAAGAAGAGCAGACTTGCCCAGGTTGGAATGTTGCTAAATCCTAGTCTGCAGTGCATGGGAATGTTTTAGATCTCCTAAGGATAATTTTTTGCCAATGCCCAGTGATAATTCAGTGAAATTATTAGGTAATAGTTAGGGGTTAATCACATATATGCATGCAGCCATAAAAATGCCCTTTGTAGAAAATGTTGCAGAAATTTGGGATTGGGATTCATTGGGTGCAGGAACTCCATTTTTCACAGTTTGTCTCTTAACAGAAAGGCCCATTGTGAGTGCAGGGATGCTGGAAGCACAGAACTTGCTGGAAAATCAATTTACACTTGTGAAGAAATTTTTTTCTGTACTTCATACCACAAAATGAACTTTCAATGACATTTTCTTAATGGATTTAGATTTCCATGAGGATATAGTTGTTCATGTAGTGCAATGCAAAAAGCTGCACAAGTTAGTTTGAAATCCCTCAACTTCTGTTTTTTATAGCATTAAAGATAATGCAAATAATTACCACATATACTTCATGTGGGTTTATAAATGTGTGCATATATATCACTTGGCTTTACTTGTTGTTAGCTAGAATTCATTAAAAAAATAAAATGTTTTTCTCCTCAGCCTTTTTGATGCTGTATATTCGTTGATCAAAAACAAAATCCACAGATTGCCAGTTATAGATCCAGTCAGTGGAAATGCACTTTATATACTTACCCATAAAAGAATCCTCAAGTTCCTCCAGCTTTTTGTAAGTATTTAAAGCTATGCTGTGCTTAGCTGATTTTTCCCCACAGTAGACATGTGATATAATTAAGTAATTAAAGTCTTAGTGCAGGAATTTTGTAATGAATTTCCAAATTCATTGTGTCTTTGTGTGTCTTTTCTTGGTAACAGGGAAATTAAAGCTTGATATAAGGCCTATATTTTACCTTCACTTTGTTTTACTCCTTTAAAGAAACCTAAACAGCAAGGACTTGTCTATTGGTTGTTTTTGGAACATCTCAACTGCAGGAGTTTGTTTACATGAAAAGAAAAATGAATTTCCCCAGAGATGAGATTGTCATTACTCTGTAGTAATGTTAGTCTCAGCAATGAACAGGAGGCCAAACAAAGCAACAAGAGTTCAAAGCAACAAATATTCAGATTAATGTTTTCTATCTTCTCCCTCCCTTTTAGTGGGAATGACATAGCTTTTAGTGGTGTGTTACTACAGAAAAAAAAGGAGTAAAAATCCTAGTTACATTGTCCTAATTTAGAGCTTTGAACAGAGTTATTTAATGTCTTAATTTCTGCTTTGAACAGAAACCCCTTGGGTTGTTTGGGTTTTGTATTAATGTGGTGTCAGGAGACTGCAGTGACCTGTAAGCATCACTTGGAGTCTGCAGATGGATGGGTGAATGTCGGTGTAAACCCATTCCTTCTGACTCCCCTAGATGTCAGAGATGCCAAAGCCTGCCTTTATGAAGAAGAATCTGGATGAACTTGGAATAGGAACTTATCACAACATTGCCTTCATACATCCAGACACTCCTATCATTAAAGCCTTGAATATATTTGTGGAGCGAAGGATATCGGCATTGCCTGTGGTGGATGAGTCAGGTGGGTACAAAAGGGTGGGGAGGGAAATGCTGCTGGGAAGGAGGGGAAAACACAAGAAAAAGTAAAAAAAAAAATTAAAAAATCCATAGGGGAAGAAAGGGAGTATAAAGAAATACTTATGCACAATGTAGGTTGGTGGGCTTGGAAGAATTTTATTATTCGATAGGTTTTTTGGGTTTGGATTTTTTTCAGTCTTTCCTTCTTGACCTATCATTTCTTTTTGGTGATGAAAACAAGTAGCAACAAAACTGATACTGTATTTTAAGCACTTTGTTAACTTTGTTTTTATTTTCTTTTTAGGAAAAGTTGTAGATATTTATTCCAAATTTGATGTAATAGTAAGTATATCTCTTAAAATCTATTAATTATTTTCTATGTAGTAAGCATTTGCAAATTAATTTGTTAATACAACAGTTTTATTTTGTTCCTTTGGCTGTAATTAACAAACTGAATGAAGAGATCCAATTCACCCTGCACATATTTTTTTTTTTATTACTACTTTTATTTAAGTTATCCTTAGTAGTACTGTTTGCACACAGGCTCTTATTGCTCTGGATGTTACCCAAAATAAGATCTGGCTGGGCATAATCCAGAGGAGGGGATCAAGGCTGGATCTTTACCAAGAGGTGTTAGAACACTGAACAGGCTTCCCAGAGAAGTGGCTGATGCCCCAAGGCTGTCAGTGCTCCAGAGGCACTTGGGCAGTGCCCTGAGTAAAATGCCTCAGCTTTTGTTCCTCCCTGGAGTGCCAGGCACTTGCAGCAGGTGCTCACTGTAGGTCCCTCGCAGCTGAATTGTTCTGTTCTTGTTGGTTTCTGGTTTTGAGCGAGGATTTCCTTTTTCCAGCTGCTGCCACTCCAGTCTGTTCTCAAAGAGAATGCAGATTTCTTTGTGCAGTCTGAGTAGTTTGTACAGCTTGACCTCAGTGATGTAAAAACCACTTGGCCCATTCTTTTGTGTCTCTGACTCCAGTGTCTTGCATCTGTATTCCTTCTGCTTTAGATCTAATCCAGGATTTCCCTCAAGATTCCAGCTGCATACTCAGATTCATGCCATGATTTACCAGCCTCTGAGAGCAAGGGCTTTTCTATTCTCATGGCTTTCAGAAACTTGAAAAATAGATCTATCTTTTTATCCCTGTCCCCTCCCAGCTGTGTGCACCTGCTTTCTAATTGCAGCATCTGCAACTGCTTTATTTTCCTAGAGGTTTCACTGCCCAGGTTGCCACCAACCAGCTGCACTAATGAAGAATCCAGATGTTTGAAACACTGCCTAGAAGGCATTCAGTAAAATGGAGAATAGTCCCAAGTGAAAATACTTTAAGCTTATAAATATCTCTGGCTGCAAACATTGTTCTTAATACTGAAAATTCTGTGATGTCACTGCTCTTGCCTGTCATTTTTAGGCATTTGTCTTCTTATTTAGGACTCCTAGTGTGTAAGATCCTGTACTGCCATAAAAGCTTGTCAGGGAATAGGCAGTAGCTGCAGAGAGAATGGCCTGATGTATCAAAGACAATGAAATTTCCCAGTTGGTGGATTCTGTGTCAGTTTATTTTGTAACTGTGGTAGATTTTGGGGCAGGGCATGTTTCCTTCATTTCCCATTCTTCTTCAGAAAGACACCAGGAGGAAGAGGGCTCCTTATGTTTTTCACTTCTTTTCTCATTTTAAGTGATGAAGCAACAAATTGGATTTCTTATGATGTTGGATCATTTATCTGGGAAAAAAAATATGTATTGGGAATTGGACAAACACTCCACACCACAAAAATGCAATTTTTAGGATATAATTGTTTGCACACAGCTAGTAACATGGGAAAGAGTTAGGGCATCTATTGATTACATGATTGACATGTGGAGTTTTCCTCACATGTCCTAGTTTGCTTATTAAGTTTCTAAATAAATCTAAATTCTAAATAAGAGTCTAAAAGATTCTATTCTTAAAAAATAATCACCTCTGAGCTTCCAGATTTCATCAGGCTGCTTCAACCTGACCTTCAGCTTTGAAAAAAGGAAAAAAAAAATGTAATCTGAAGTGTATGAATCTGATCTTCCAATAAACATAGAATTTCCAAGATGGTGATTTTTAACTTTTAACCATGTGGCTAATGTCCCTGCTTGGTGGTTGAAGCTATGCCTGTGTATGCAGCTGGCTAAGTTGATAGATTTCTTTCATTTTAATAAGAGTTCTAAATTAATTTTTAGGTTCATGATTGGTGAAGCATGGGAATGGAATGATGTGTAGGGATAGCTTTATATTGCACCAGTTATTGTGTGTAGGGTGACTTCAGTTTGCAGAGGCTTTTTATGTCCTCTCAATGTCCTTCATTAGGACCTGGTTAAATTAATTAACTAAAATTGTTTTTATCTTCATGATCACCTTGAACCTGTCTTGTCACATCTGGTGTAATTCAATCAAAAAACTTGACTGAGTATCTTCTAGCCAAAAATTAATTGAATTTTATTGCTTGGTCCAGTGCTCTCATTTAAAAGCTCTCTCTTTGTTCTTCCTTCAGTGCCTCAGCAGCAAAATCAGTAGGCCAGGGTGTGCCAACACTACTAAAATACCACAATGGTCTCACCTACAGAAAGCTTTTGCAGGTCTGGACAGAGTTCTCTCACTGCAGGCATGATCCTGTTCTTAGAATGAAAGTTTAAAATGTCAGCTTTCAAATTCTTTTAATCTTTTCCTTTTAGTGGTGGGGGTGGGGTTTCATTGTTATTATTCTCAGAGTACTTATTAAAATACACCCAGACACACAAATTGTCTTGGAATGGCAGCACCAGCTGAGTCCAGGAGAGGGAGTTTGAGCCCACAAATTAGGAAGGTGAAGAATGAATTTGCTCTCCACTTAGCTCTCAGCCACTGACATCTACTCTGTGGGTGCTGTTCAGAGCAGTGTCTTCCCCAGCCCTATGAAAAACAAACAACAAAAAGTTGTATATTCTGTGTGGTGTGAAATCTGAAGAGCTTCACCTTTACATTTGCTGCTCGTGCCAAAAGCAGGATGAGTGACACCAAGATGAGCTACAAAGTAAGATTTTCAGTGGCCTAATGCAGATCCCCAGTTTTATCAGTTTACCCAGGGTGTCAGGTGGTGTTCAGCATCTTTGTGCTTGACAGTTCCCAGATCTGAAGCTGAAGAGCATCTGCTCTGTTTAATGTGTTACCTGGAATGGACTCAGCTTGCACCAGAAATGCCTATCTGCTTGATGCCAAAATATTTACTTTATGCAGTGCTTTGTTACTAAGTACTGAGCTGTCTGACGTGGCCTGGGTTTGTTTGTTTTTTTTTTTTGCAGAATCTTGCTGCTGAAAAAACCTATAATAACTTAGATATCACAGTGACACAAGCCCTACAGCACCGCTCTCAGTATTTTGAAGGTGTTGTAAAGTGTAGTATGCTGGAAACACTGGAGACCATTGTGGATAGAATAGTGAAGGCTGAGGTGAGTCCCTGCATAAGAATTACAATTTGTGTTATGAAACTGATAAACAGTACGAATTTATCCTCTTTAAGTTGTTTTGATTACTTGGTGAAAGTATTTTTATAATTATGTTTTAATAATTATATTTAATACTATCATATGTATAATATTAAATATTTTAAGTATATAATTAATTTTTAATAATTATAATGATTGATATTTAACTCAGTCTGCTCTATAGACTCAGATTTAGATGCTTATAGGGATGTGCAAAATATTTCACAGTATACCTGTAATGATACTCAGTTATTTGCATTTTTGTTTTATGACATTAACTAAACTGAATGCAAAGCTTTCCCAAGTTTCTTCCAAGCCTGTCATAAGTTTTGCAAACAAATAATTTGTTAAACTCCCAGTTTATAGCTTGGCTCAGGAAATTTATTGGGTGCAAGTTGTTGTGATGCATGATGGGATCCTGCTCTGCTCTCACAGAAATGCAGTCAAACAGGGCCATAAAGTAAATTCTTGTGAAGAAGCCTTCACTAACTGCTCTTGCAAATTTTTTATCTCTGTGCTGTCCATTCTTTTGGTGCTATTTGTCTTGTTTATAAGTACTGGGAACTTCCTTACATGCAGAGGTGAATGAGTTTGTAGGTCTTCCCTGTAAGGCTTCTCTGCAGAAGAAAATCAATATTCCCAGTTTCAGTTGTCTCTGAGATGTGATCAGCTCCATTTTGATGCTTTAACGTCATCAATTACAAGAGTTATTTATTTTTAGGGCTGTAACCAGGCATACACTTGACAAGAGGAAAACTTCCACTTTGTTAAGAAGCCCTTAGAACCTCATTAGGCAATTTCTACTTGCAGCTTTCAGCATTTGCTTGAGCTTCCTCCTGAATGGAATAATTTTAGCATTCCTGATACACAGATTTCAAACTTGGATTATTTTATTACTATCTTAAGAAGCTTTAGACATTTGTGTTTTAGGAACAACTCCTACCCTCTCGTTCAGTCTAAACACAGTGAGCTTACATGTAAAAATGAGTCAGTCAAAACTACTACACAGCTATTTTTAGCTGCCAGACAACTGCTTGATCTTACAAGCAATTAAACAAATGAAACATTGTCCATTTTTCTTGAATTCATTACACTGAGAGAGGAATAAAATTATTAAATATGTGCATATGCAGAAATTAATAAACCTGTTTAAAATATCACCAGCGTAGCTTTATCAAAAATGAAATATTTTCTCTCAACTTCATAGTGAAGAGAGATAATTCACTTGGGTAAAAGTAAAGATGTAGTAGGCTCTGAACTTAGGACAGACACTTCCCTGGTTCTGCAGTGGCTTTTCTCAGCTTGCTCTGGCCAGTGAGCCTCAGGATACAGGAGTACCCATCTAATTTCCCTGCAGTTAGCACAAAGGGTTTGTGGTGTAAAATGTTCCGTAGAAGAGGTTTGTAAGGATAAGATCATTGTTTGAAAATATGGTCTTACTGTTGGTAAATCTTTCTTCTGAGTTGTGTCCTTGTGTTTATTTGCAGAGATAAATTGAATCCTTTTTCTGTCTTAAACAGTCTGTTTAAAACAAATCGTTTTAAAACCAATCTGGCACTCACTTTCCATTGTGAGAAAAAATAAATTAAAACCAACTCAGAGGTGTCAAAATACAACAAGTTTTAGTGTTGTGTCTCTCTGCTGAGGAAGTTAGGAAGTATTTTTCAGAAGGAATCCTCATTTTATTACTGTATCTGGTTTTTTGGAGACCACAGACTGAGCTGGGCAGAGGCTGTAACTTGGGGAAAAGTGTTTGATGTGAGTGCCACATTTTGAGAGCAGAAGTATTTTCAAGACCTAAATCTTGACTTACCTGTCACTTCACATCACATTCTGTTGCCAGTCAGCCAGTTGTGTGCCTTTTAAACATTCACTATTTTCATTTATGTAGGGCAAGCATGTTTGTGTTTCTGTGAGAGAATTGCTATTCCTGCCATTCTGAACCATTTTGGGTTGTTTTTTCCTACTTATCTTCACACTGCTTTACTTTAGGGGTTTTGTTTGTTTCTTTGTTTGTTTTTCTTTGCTTTGCCTACTTTAAATCAGGTAAATATATCTCAGGCTCTTCTCCTGCTGGCAGGTTCATCGTTTGGTGGTAGTGAATGAAGCTGATAGCATTGTGGGTATCATCTCCCTTTCTGACATCCTACAAGCTCTGGTACTCACACCTGCAGGTATGGATCTGCCCTTGCCATGGTGCTGTGCACACCCTGCTGGGTTTCAGTCATTTCACAGTGATAAATGTCTGATTTTCAGCTTTTTTAACTGATTATAGTTCTTAAATACACAAGTAATTTCAAAGAAAGCTGACAGAATATGAACTGTCAGTCTCCTGTTCACTGAGGAGGGTGTGCAGAAGCTTCATCAATGTCCCTGCTGTTCATATGTCTTTTCTAGGGGGAAAAAAAGTCTTGATTAATATTTTAAGTGGATGAAGCTGAATGTATAGACAACATCTACAACAGGGCACCTTCTGAGTTTCTGTACTCTGGCCAAGTGTGGTCACAGCTGTGTTTTCCACTAAAAAATCACTTTTTGGAGTCTTGCTACTGTCCAGCTATGCTTGGCTGGCACAGCTTAAGTCAGAGATGGAACCTCAGCCCACCAGAACTCTTGCAGTATAAAACTGCCTTGTGAGCAGGTTAAATCTCTAGTGATCAATCTAAACATGACCAGGTTCCTTTTAACAAAAGTATCCAGCAGTAGGTTTATTTCTGCTGCTTTTATCTTGGTTGTGGGGGTTTGGTTTGGTTGGGTTTAGTTTGGTTTTGGTTTTAAGTTTTTCCCAATTTCTTAACCTGCTTTATGTTTTTAATTGTCACTGCACTTTGACCTCATAAGTTACTTCAGTGTCACAAGAACTAAAGCAAAACCCTGTTTTGGCTCTGTGAGGAAGGCAAAATGTCTTGAGGATTATTGCCATTTTGCCTCAAAAAATATCAGACAAATAGAGCTGGGTACATACTTCAAAAAAAAAAAAAAAACTAAAAAAGTCAATATGTGAGCTTAACTGAAATCTCTTACCTGCCCTGATAGATAACATAATTACATAAAATTGGGTTTTTTTCTCTGTAGACTTAAAAAAAAAAAAAAAAAAAAAAGGTAATGTACCTTGTTTAAATAGAAATATTTCTGTTCTGAAGAGAAGCAATCAGCTTTACTGCTGGAGGTGTTGTGTCAGTACATCTGGTTCCTTTTAATAGCCTGGAAGAGCAAGAGCAGAGCAAGGAACCCAGCTCTCTGAGAAATCAGCCCAGAGGTCTGGGTCAAATGGAATCCTTGCCTGGAGGAAAAGAGGGAGCTGTGAAGACAAGCAGCCAGTCTTGGCAGAGGAGGGAGTTTCATCCATGACTGGAGGGGGTAGCAGGATCCCAGGAGAGCAGATTTTAGTGCCAATGGTGCAAAGTTCAGACAGAAAAGCTGCATTTGGATGCTGACAAACCAAGAGCTTTGTTGTACTGGAGTCACATGGACGCCTCTGTTGGGACTCTGAGCTGAGCTAAAAGTGCTCTGGGATTATTGCAAAGGGAAATTCCTGCTCCCACTCTGGGGCAGCACCATGCTCTGAGGTCCCTGAGCTGCTGTAACTCACTGAGCCAGCAAAAAAGCTGCAGTTCAGTCAGCCTGGCACTCTGAACCTGCCCACAGAACAGTCTGGTACTGAGCACAGGGGTTAGAGCAACAGAGAGGGCAGGGTTGTGCCACTGGAAGAGAGGAGGTGAGGGAAGGTTTTTTGGGGAGCACTTAAGCATCAGATTGCATTTCCACGGGCAACTGCCCAACTTTAGACTAGAATTTGTCTCTTGCAGGGAGGATGTCTGCCATGTAAATCTGATTTGTAGAGTATGAAGTGTGACTTTGCTCTTAAGAACACCAGATAAATCATTTGTCCAGTTCTCTTCACAGATGGAAAGGAAAATTTATTGACTGGCAGGAATTAAGACCAGCCTGTGTTTGGGAAAAAATTAACAGTTGTGATGTGAAAACATTTAATGAATCTTTCAGTGTTTGATAATACATTACAAGTAGCAACTCCAGGTTTCTGGCAAGAGATTCTTATTCTGTAGAGTTGGATGCTGAATCCTAACTCACCACAGGGTTCAGTCATTGCCCAGCATGTCTGAGTATCTGGAGAAGAGCTGAGATGCTGCACAGTCCTGCTGGACAGGTCTCTCAGATCCCTGCTGTAAGCAAAATCTGCCTCTGAGCCAGGAAAAATGGATCCATCAACAAAGTGTAGTTAAACTAAATTCTTACATCGTTTGGCTCAAGCAGGACTCATTTTCTGGGGGCTGTTATGATGATTAAGCTTGGCTCTAAGCTGAGGGACAGGTTTGGGCTGTGGGTTTTTAGTTGGGAGTTTTTAAACAAATATTTTTTATGTGCTGGGGAGAATCTTCAAAGGCATTTGGAGTAACTTCCCAGAAGGGTTACTTAAACTTAGCAATGAAATTAAAGCAGTGATGGTCCCGAGCCTCCCTCGCTGTGTCTCACGTTGGCATTTAGCAATCCTGCAGTTTATTCTCTTTAAATGTTGTATTTAGGAGTGTGATTTTGGTAATGTGATCAGGGAAAGTTGCAGCAATTGGAATGAGCTGCTCCAGTTTTGTGTGGCCAAGGAAATGACAGCTGCTTTCCTCTTCTGTTCCAGGTGCCAAACAGAAGGAGAACGAGAGCGAATGACTGCTGTGAATGTAAACATTTGTAGGAGAACTTGAACAGAGTTTCTGGGTCGTTTGTCTCAAGAGCAGTGACTGCAATGGAACAGAGCAGGATGGTTGAGAATGTGTTTTGGGACTTAGTGATGGATGATGAGTCTCTTCCCCCCAGTGATGTCGCAAAAAAAGCAGCATGACAAAAGCTTATGTTAAAATGTAGGCTCGTATTTCAAAACATGTCTTCGAAACATTTGCTGGAAGACTTCACATGATGTCCTTCATTAAAATGCACTGTATTCTGAAACTTTTTCATTTTGTATTTGACAGAAGTCACTGGTCAGCAATGGATATATGTGGCATAAGGCAAGTGTATGGCATATTCATATCATAGTGCCTTATGTCAAAATACAGCAATATGTCATCACTGTTGCCCATCACTGTCAAAGGAAGTGTTGTGCTAAACGAGACACTGTATTTGAATGTGAAAGTCTTTAAACCTAAAACCAAATCAGTTTCAGTTCTCATTAGATTTGTCATAAAAGCTGTAATTTGGGTATCGGTAGACTTCTTTAAAACTTCAATGACAGTTTTGTGTTCAATGTTGCATTCTGAACTGAAATGTAAAACAAGACTGATTTAAAAACAGCTTTATTTATTTTTACTTTCATGACAATTTTTTACACATCTTTGGTGGATAGCTAAAATTTCACCATATCCATTAATAAACTGTTGATTGTTATACAAACAAGTGGGAGATTTTTCTCATTATTTAAACCTTTGGAGTTGCAGAAGCTGTGCCCTGTTCACCAGTCTGTTACTTGAGCTGAAGATTTCGGAAGCATGGATTGAAAGTGCTCTGTCCTGTCGTACACAGGCACCACGGAGGAAATGAGGTGCCAGAGGACAATATTTTCACCTGTACTAAAGTGTAAAATGATGTTTGTACAACGAAAACCCGAAACTTTTTATTGTATATGATTTGTACAGAAGCGGAGGAGTGAGGAAAGCCGTGGGGTATTTGCTGATGTAAATGTACTGTAAAGTTTGAAGATGAGACTTTTATAATTGTAGATTCTTGTAGACGGAAGAAATTAAACCCTACAACATCAGTTTGGTTTTAGCAGTTCGTGCCAAGTTCTTTCGCATGTATGAATGTACATGCATTGGGATTAGTGCAAACCAGGAGCATTCTTATTTTCCTCTGAATTTAAAGCTGGCTTATGCTGATGGAATACTGTAGTTAGGACTTCTGTACTGTGTTTCCAGCCTGAATACTGCACTGGAATAATGCAGGAAAGGGATACAATATTTTTTTCCATTTATAAACATGGAGGTAAAAGGTGAACAGTTTTCAGTTTGCTTATAAAATGTAAATATAATAGTAATAATAGTAATGAAAAACTTTCTTCAGAACTTTTCTCCTTTCTACAAGAATTTAAATTCTGAACTAAATGTGTGAAAACTTCCTTCTTACAGGTCTCTTTCATGACTAAAAATATTCCTGTAGTACATGATGGAAACTGTTCACTTAGACTTTCTTCTACTTTCTTACCTTGTGAAAAACATTGTCAGCACCTTTTCTGACTGGGTAAATATTGACTCTGTTCCCTGCAATTCCAGGTGGTATTGAACTGCAGCAGCTGCTTTGTCCTGAGAACAACAACCTGGTGCTGGTTGCTGCCATCAGAGCTGACACCAGCCCTGCTCTGATTATCCTCGTGTGGGAGATGGAGCGATTCAAACTAAAAATAGTGGCTCTCATTCTTCATAGGGTGTGTGGAGGGGAGAAACTGGTAGGAAGCTGATTAAGGGTAAGTGGGCAGTGCTACCTGCAAATGCCACACAAACCACATGAATGCAGCTTTGTGAAAGCAAGGTTCTGCTCCAGCACAGGCACTGCAGCCTCCTCTGGGAGATGGGGTGGCAGGGAGGTGCCCAAAAGCATCCTGACATCTCTCTATCACTTGTCTGCATGAGCACATTCTTCACCCCTCTGGTCAAGGTATTTTTAAAGATAAAGGTTGAACCACTGATAAGTTTTTTATATCTATTTTATAGCACAAATTCTTCTGTCCCTGTTCATGCAGATGCTGTGGGCCTGCCTGCGTGCTGCAGAGTGCAGAAAGCCAGAATGAATTTGCAGTTTTCAGATAACCAGATACAAGCTTCCCATTTTCACATTATTACAACTGCTGTTGACATGTTGTGGACACAGGACTTGCAAACGTAGGGAGAACACCCTCCTCAGTGGCACAAAACTGTGTTTAGAGAATTTCCACCCTTTCTTTCTGGAATTCAGCTCTGAAGTCTGCATTTGTGAGTGGCAGAACCGCGATGTGACCCCACCAGCACAAATCAACAGCAGTGCCATCAAAATACACTCTGCTTGTGCTGGCACAAGTGCCAGTGCTGGTGCAGTAAACAAAGCTAAAGAAATCTTGTCGTTTTTAATACACATCAGTTTTCTACAGAGCTAGAAAAATGCTTGTTCCAGCATAAGGGAGGGACAGGAGTAAGTAAATGAGGGTGGAGGGAGGAGGGGTGACTCAGCAGCGCTGCAGCATGTTCCAGATTAAAGGGAAAGTGTAACTAAAGCTTCGGTCTAGAGCTCTTCATGTAGCTCATTAGAGGTCTCAGCCATGAAAAAAGAATTAATAAATTGTCATTAGACTCGAGTTCTTGTGCATTCTCCCCTCTGGACAGGCAGCAAGCAGTACTTACAGGTCTGAGACCACTGAAACAGCTCCAGAAGCTCCTTTTCTTGTCACAGACAGGACCATGCTGCAGATGGAGGGGTCAGTAAATGTCCCCTGTGACTCCTGAAAGCCTGTTCAGCAGTGCAGGTGAAGAAATGGGTTCTATTTTAACCAGCAGGACTGTAATAACACGTGATTGATGCCTTTGCTTTCCTGTGCATTTCCTTGCACAGCAGGAGATGTCTGTGAAAGATAATTATTCTGAAGGGCTTGTCTTGGAACAAGGGCTTTTACCTGCTCTGGATATTTTTAACTGCTTAGGTGTAAGAAAATTTCTTAGTAAACTTCAGCCCTCTGTATTTTTCAGTACCTAGAGATGCTCTCAGCTGAGGAAAAATCACCCTTTGCTGATACTGATGAAAAACATTTTCCTGTTTTACTTCTGGAATCCTGAGATCAGACAGTATTTGCTGTTTTCTAGGAAGTGAATTCCAGTTGTGTATCTGAGGCCTATTCAACGTTTATTAAGGGATACTGTTGTGCTGGGAATGTTGGAGTAAAACAGAAAGAACAAGCCTTGATTTCCAAGGCCTGAGCTCTTGTCTCATGGCAGACAGGAGGAATCTGACTGAAGCAGTTCCAAGACTGCACATGGAGAACACTTCTTGCCATTTTTGGAGGGTAAGTTGGAGTTTTTCAGTTTTGGTCCAGCTGGAAGTGAAACCACACGTGCTTAATCCTGTCTCACAGCAGGCCCTGTAACTGCTCCCACTGAGCTCTCCAGGCAGCTTTAGAAGTAACCAGTTTACTTCTAAAGTTTCCGTGAACTCTCACCCATATTGAACACTTATTAAGGGTAATTTCCAGAGGAAAATGCCATTCCGGATAATTTAATGCTACCCTTGTACCCACATAATGCATTTATGCAAAAAGAATGTTCTGCAGACACTGCTCTTTACTCTTCACTTCAGGACTTCATTTAAATGTGGTTTTGAAAGTCACTTTCTTGGTACTCATTTGTTTTCTGGTGGTTGCAGTCAGACCTGTTCCTGCTGAAGTGAATGGGCAGGAGGTGACCTGCACTCACACATCAAACCCATTCCTTCAGAACCAACCCTGTGGAACGTGTGTCCCTGCCAGCTGCACACCAGCACCTGTAGGGCACCAACCCGTGGTGCAGCAGCCCCTCTGAACTGAATTAATCCCTTAATTTGCTTCTACCAACATCTCGCCAGCGTTTCTATCTGAATATTGTAAAATTCAATCACTGTGAAAAGTCGGGAGGGAGCAGAAACAAGTGCAAGGCTGAACTGAACGTACTCTGTAACCTCTGTGGGTTGCAAGGGCTGTGCTGTGCCTGTGGAAGCACGCCCAGTGCAAACACTGGACACACTTCAAACACTCCTTGGGAAGGTCCTGCTTTGCTGAAGGACAGAGCAGGTAATTGTGCTGGTAATTGCTGCTGCAGGAATTGAAGGTGCAAGTCAGAGCTGTTCTGCATTTGTAGAGTAGCTGGATGGCTGTGGGTTTGCACCTACTGCATTAGTGTAAAAATACTTGGCTGTTGAGTTAGTTACCTTTTTTACATGAAATCTATTGTGGTTCTTTCTCCATCACAAAAAGCAGATAGAGGCAACAAAAGAAAGCCAAGCACTGTTTGTGCAGCCTCCCTCAGCATCCTGATCTCCCCACAGACACTCACTCCAGCCCTGCTTGCTGTTTTCCCCCTTGTATCTTGTCTTTCAGAACCACATCTGATGTGTTGCGTTCTTTGAGCATGTTATCTCATTTACAGTAACATTAATGTCATTTATCATCTGAACTGATCCCAAGGCTGTGTTGGATTTGAGGGAGTACCTGGCAGAGGGAGGCGGGGGGAAGGCCTGGAGCACAGCCAGTGCAGAGGCACACGGGGCATGTCACTTGTCCCACAGCTCTGAACTCCTTGGGAGCTCAATTTGCAAACACTGCAGACCTGAGGAGGCTGCAGCAGGAGCAGGGAATGCACAACCCTAATTCCTAATGTAACTGATGCTATGGAATGCTGCTCTGGGAAAACACGACCTGGATTGTTACAGGGGAGAGGATTTAGCAAAGGGGTACATGGTGTGTGGGGCTGTTCAGCCCTAAATGTATAAACAACAGGAGTTCAGATAATGCACAATGCCTGGATTGGACATTCACAGCCACAGGTGTGCTGTCCCTCTGCTCAAAGCACTCCAGAAGTGTTTAGATTTCACCTGGGCAGGAGAAATGCAGTAACAGCCTTTCCACAGTCCAGATCCTCTCACCCCTGCTTAAGCTGCTGCCTCTTGAGTAGCAGCATCCCAGAGTGCTGCCAAAGGCCATCAGCAGTGTCACCCAGCCCTAGAGCATGGAAAAACAACAAACTTCCTTGAAAGCTCTGTATTTCCCTGTATTCCCAGTAAGACAAAATGAAGCACTTACAGGATCCAGCTGGAGGAAGGATTATTAGGCAATTCCCTCCAAAGGAACAGTGGAAGAAAAAGGAGTTAAAGGTTTTTCTTCAAAATAAACCCATGCCCAGGATGGATGAGTTCTGTGTTGCTGCTGGCAAGCATCCTAATGTGAGACAACTCCATTGCAATTTGAGGCAATAAAGCAAATAAAGAGGGAAGAACAGAAACCCTGCAGTAGTGAACTCCCCTAAACAAGCACAGAGTGAACCAGGGGCAAGGTAACAGAAACCAGATAAATAAACAGACAGCTCCAAAAGGAGAGTGGGATAAGAAAAAGACAGTAATGGAAAGCACCTAGTCAAAAGAAATGGAGGGAACAAAACCAGAAACTCCCAAAATTGAAGAAAATGCTCATCACTCTGAGCATGTGGAGGGGTATGGATATATATCCTGAAAATACAAGTTAGTTTTCACCAGAGTAAAAAGCCCAGTACCAAAATATGACAGACAATGCAAGGAGATGGAAATTGAAAGCATCACTACCACAAATTTCAGCTATTTTTCCAAATCCATGTATGCCATTGGAAGGTGATTCTTATCTCAGTCCTCTCAGTCTTCAGGCTCAGGAAAAAGCCCACATTTTGGACCATGGCATGGTTCCAGAAGGAATGAATGTGAAGATGATGGCACAGCTCCAAGGGTTGGTCCTGCAGGGTCATGGCTACTGCAATCCTCATGTGCTCCATAAACAATCGTGTCTGTCAGAAGCACAAGACAAAGAGGAGTCTGGTGCCGTACACCAGGCTGTCCCTCTGCACCTCCTGGGCAGCTTTGAGCAGGATCCCTGCTCACAAACGCTGGATTTTTTGCAGGCTCTCCAAATCCCAGCAATCCCATCCTCGAGGGCTGTGATCAGGTGGGAATCTGCTGTAGTGAGTGGAAAAGGCTGGACACAGAATGAGCACGCAGAGTTGTATCACCACAGCCATCACTGAGAAAGTACAAACCCCCCATGTTTCCTCAGGAAATAACTATCCTTCCATCATGTACATCATGTATTCACTGTAAGCTGTTATTCCTGCTGTTTAACAGGTTACCAGCTCTTGTCCTGTAAAACCCCATAATCCAGAAGACAAAGGGTATAATTAGACTATCCCTAAAAACGCAGGTATCTCCTAAAAGCCTGTCTGCTCCTCCAGAAGTGAATCACTTTTGTGTACAAATGGCTTTCTTTTGCTTTAGCTCCCTGCCCTCTCAGCAGGTTAGATGAATGCGTGGGAGTGGATGGCTGAGATCGGGGAGAAGCCAATCCATGCCCCTTAACATCACCCAGCTAGGTTGGTTTGTTGTACCCTGGCATAATTGCATGTCGGGTATTAGTGTTCCCCAAAAAGACAAGATGCACGTTTAAAAAAATTAATTCTAACTAGCATTCGTTTTTCAAGCAAATGTGTGAAGGGTCGATATTAACCCAAAGTGTTCCAAATCTGCAGCAGAGGCGGGGGGAGGGATATGACTTTCCTGTCTTAGTGTCTTTCTCCCTTAAATTCTGCATCCATCAAGTGTTGCAGTCACCACCAGTACACACAGCGCTCTTTTCACAGCGGAAAATTCTGCACCGCTTGGATCTCACTGTTAACCATTCCCAAGCTCCCAAACGCCGTGCAATTCCCAGCACTTTATCGACGCTGGGACCCGACGTTTCTCCATAAATCATCTGCGCGCACGGGGAACGCTCTGAGAGGCACCGAGATAAATTGAAACAAATTCAAACAAATTCAAACCAGCCCGGCACGGGAGCCTGGAGCCTGCGGGGACACGGCAGGGACAGCGCCAGAGGAGGAGCCCCGGGATGGGGAGAGGAACGGGCATGGACACGGGGATGGGGAAGGAGACGGGGACAGGGATGGAGACAGGGATGGGGATACGGACAGGACTGGGATGGGGCCAGGGCCGGCAACGGGACTGGGATGGGCATAGGGACGGGGATAGGGACCAGGACAGGATAGAGACAGGGATAGGAACAGGGATGGGGATAGGAACAGGGATGTGCACAGGGATAGGGAAAGAGATGGGGAAGGGGATGAGGAAGGAAACGGGGATTGGGCCGGGGTCGGGACTGGGCCGGGCACAGGGACGCGGATAGGGATAAGGGACAGGGATAGGGGACAGGGGCCGGGCCGGGCACAGGGACGTGGATAGAGATAAGGGACAGGGTCCCCGACAGGGATAAGGGACAGGGGCCGGGCCGGGCACAGGGACGCGGATAGGGATAAACGCGGCCGTTGCCGCTGCCCGGCCAATCCCCGCCCGCTGCCGCCGCCGCGCCGGCCAATCGACGGGCGGCAGGCGGGGGGGAGGGGGCGCGAGCCGGGCGGGGGTGACGCAGGGAGTTTTTTCCTGTGACGCGCAGGTGCGTACGCGGGGCCGGCGCGCGGCGGC